ATCCTCTTCTTAAGTACGTTCTCATTTTACCTCTAGAAAGTGTTTTCAACAAACAAACAACCTGAAGGCAATCTGCTTTCTTTGGAGCTCCCCCTGACAACAGCAGAGAGGTATTTTTGAGGAAAGCTGCGTTTTATAGTCTCAGCTTTAGGCTGGGATTAACAAAAGCAAGCCGGGCAAGAAGCAGCAAGCAAGACACAGTAGAAACTACTAAAAATCCCAAACTTCTATTACCATTAATTGTGCTAAGTATAACTTCACTCGCTGATGCACCAGACAGAAAGTAGACAGACAACCCTGTCCCACTGCACCAGCTTTTCAAGCTTCCAAAATAAACACAAAGGTCTTTGAACAGACCATGCTCTCCAGATCATGCAGCCTGATCTTCCTCATTTGATATGTGCAAAGGCTGAGGTTGGTGGTACTCACAATAATTACCTGTCACCAGGCAAGGAACATAGCAGAGTTCTTGCAGATAACTTATTCATGTCATCTTTGTGTTTCAGGAATAATGCAACCAGTAACAGATCAATGACATGGGTAACAGAGAGCATTTGCTTCCAGTTTTACAGGGCAGGGAAAACCGGGGGAATCTCGCTGGGATTCAGGGCAGGGGAGGAAAACGACAGGGAGGGATCACCAGCGCGACAGGGTCTGATGTTAAAAAGTATCAATAAAGAAGGGGGTTTACAGGTTCTCCACAATCATGGAAACACAGAACGGTTTGGGTTGGAAGGGACTTTAAAGCTCATCTCAGGGACACCTTCCACTATACCAGGTTGCTCCGAGCCCTGTCCAGACTGGTCTTGGACGCTTCCAGGGATAGGGCAACGATATTAGACAAAGGTAACACGTGCACACACCACAACCGGCGCCCTTGCAAGGCTGGACCATCAAATTTGTTACAAGAGGGGAAAACAAGATATTGCCAGCAGTGCTCTTCACTCTGCAACCTGGGAGTAATTATCGTTAGATTACCAAGACAAACAAGAGGGAGAGACAAGGAAGAGATAAAACAGAATTTCCACTATTTAGGTGCTGATGGAGAGATTAAGCCCGACTGCACTTCAGCTGTGGGAGCCTAAACAAACCAGAGGCCAGGCCACATAAATCAAGCTAATTTTAAGAGGTTACATACCAGGGAGAGTTTGACAAAGAGGTGGAAACAACCCCGCGTCCTGCGCTGCTAGAGATTTTAACATCCCTTTTATGAATAATTAAACGTGCCAATTCAACACAGACCAGTAAGTCTGGGGCGACGGGACCCACCGTATCAGCACCTCCCAGGCCCTCAGTACCTCATTAATGCTAATCAGAGCCGGCAGCGCTCAGCCCCGCCGGCACCCGCACCCCGGGACTGCGGGCACACAAAAGGTTTGGACGCGGATCCCAACCCCGCAGCATCCCGCACCCCGCCAGAGGGGGAAGGCGTGGGGTGGGGTGAACCGGCGGCTCCGGGGAAGGGAGGTGGGGACGGTGGAAAGACTCGGGAGCTCCGGCAGCGGGGAGAAAATAAAGGAAGGGAAAGAAGTTGGGGCCGGGAAGTTTTCCGCCGCTCCCCGCCCCGGCGCCCCTCTCACCGTAGACGCGGACCCAGCCCTGCTGCTGGCAGACCGACTCCCGCAGGACGCGGTCCAGCGCGCCGCCCGCCTCCAGCTCCTCCGCGCCGGGCTCGGGCTCCGCGAAGGGCTCGGCCGCCCATCCCGCCGGCTCGCCCGCCGCTCCCGGGGGCGCCTCCATGCTGGGAACGGGAGGGAGGGGGGACGAGGAGGCGCCGCCGCCGCCCGCGCTGCGCCCCGGCCGCGCTTCGCCTCAGTGCGGCTCCATCCCCGCCCGCCGCTTCGCCGCCGCGCCGCGGCGGGCGGGGAAGGGGCGGGACGGGGGATGGAGCTGGGATGTGGCGGTGGTTCTGAGGGAGATGTGGGAGGCGGCGATGGTTCTGACCCTGCCGGCTCTCAGAGCCCCCTCCCTTTCTCCTTCCCCCGCCGTCCCCAGCCCGGGGCCGCCTCGCTGCGCGGGGCTCCGTGTGGCTGCCCCTGAGGGGCTTCAAAATGGCCCCCGCGCCGTCCCTCCCCTGAGGGGCAGCGCTGGAAAGGGGAGCTGTGGCGCTGGGAGAAGCATCCCAAAGAAGTACAAATCGGGATAATCCCGCGGGAGGGGGGGTGTGGGTGGGTGGGTGTATACAGCCACAAGCATCTCGCAGCGGCCCTCTCTCCCGATAACGCCAGGGGAACGTGAGGGAGATGGATTTCCCGAGGTGGGCTCTCCCGGGCGCAGACCTTTGTGGGCGCTCGCTGGCAGAGCACGTCTGACCGAGACTGATAAATCTTTCATGCGCTTTTATCACAGTCTGTTTCTCTCAGGTACGCGAGGAGGAGATGGGCTGCAGGGAAAGGAGGACAACCGGCTTGATTAAATCCTTTTCATTTAGGGGATTTGCGGGCTGGTTTGTGCTGAACGCCTATTTACCGACCTCCCTGCGTACACCACCTTTTAGTTTTCTATTTCCCTGTTTTAATTTTGGTGAATTTCCCCGTGCTTAAGGTACACAAATAAAATAGCTGTGAACGAACCACGCATCCCACGTTATCTTTTAAGTCACAGCATTGTGACTGGAATTTTCAGGGAAGATGGGCAAAGGGGTTCATCTTGCTTTGGGTTCCATCCCTATGGATCTCTTGGGCTGAGTCCACGCCTGTCCGTGGTCAGTATGAACTGGGCAGGTTCACCCAAGCGCGTAGATTCAGTGATTATCCCCATTAGCACAGGCTGCGTCCAAGGGCTCATCTCTGCACACAACTTCTGCGTCAGTATAAAGGCACTAATTTTTTCTTTATTGAAATAACAGTTGAATGAGTGGGGACTCCTGGCAGTTACGCTGCCATTCAGCTGCCTTAAAAGAGATCCAGCTCCCACACCTTCTAACTGTGCTTGTGTCATCTTGCTTCGTTTTGCACTAGAGCAGAATAAGAGGATTCAGACAGTGAGTTACTGCTGAAGAGCAGTAGCTTCCCTCAGAAAGGGCTGTAACACCCTGAGCTCTGCAGCTTGGCAGGTCCCAGTCAGCTGCCTGAGCCTGAATGTTTGTCTCAGGAATTCCAAAAAGTTCCTCCTGGGAGCTGAGGGCTTGCAAAGAGGCAGCTAACAATGCCCTCCTGATGCAACTGGGTTGGAGTACCCTCGCACCAGTGTAGTTGTGTCCATGGTGGAAGGTGTATTAACTATTTCAGTGGAGGAAAAAGTCCTGCCAGCCCTATGATTAATTGATGAAACCTTGTTTCCTCTGGGTTTCTGTCTCATGCTTGGCTGAGAGCTTGACCTGAATCTTGCCCTACAATTGGGTCAGTCTCTACCCAGTTGGGAGAGAAACGACACGAGTTCACATCAGAGTTTTTCCATTCTATGGTGGGAATATGCATCCTGCTGCAATTTCCAAGCTGAACTGGAAAATGAATAAACCTCCTTCTTCCAAATGTTTGGTTGTTTCATGATTAGCAAAACAGATGTGGCCCAGCTTCCTACAAATTCACACCTGGTATCTAGCAGAGGGTGGACACCCTCAGCACAGAGGCTTGTAGGATCTCTCTGCTTTACCTTGCTGCCAATTTTCATTATTCCTGCAGGGATTTATTTAGCTCTTGGACCTTTATCCCTCTGTTTGTTTTATTTGAAACAGACCAGCAAGTTCAGCACTTCCTGAGGTTGTAGGAGGTAAGAGGCAGGATCTGGGGAAAGAGAGATCCTGTGAGCTTGATGGTGTCAGCCTCAATTCTTTGAGAAATAAGGATTTTAAAATTACCCCCACAAACAAGAAGAGTTAAACCAGGATGAAATCTGGTGAGGATTTATCCCTCCACCACTGTGACAGGAGTGACTCTGCACATAGCAGCACACCCAGTAACCTCTCCTTGCTCCTTCCCACCCTAAAACACGTTCTGCATCATGGTTTCCAAAGTTCTGGGAGCTGAGGGCATGCAGGATACTCCTTCCAGAGCAGATATCTGCATAAGTTGCCATAATAATACCGTAAAGCAGTAGGAAAAGCAATTTTTCCCTCCTACATTCTCTCTACCCCTGCTCATTCCCACTGCTGCTGATAATATAACTATGTACATATTCTCCCAGCTTATCATTTAGGGGCCACAATCTGATAAACTCCTCAAGTTTATCCTACTCTCCCAGAGACTTCTCCATCCTTCACACAAGTCTGGGCTGTCTCCCTGCTGTGGGAAAGGGGGATGAAGCTGCTTTGAGAAGCAGGAGAGGAGCTGGTGTGTTGTGGGGGAAGGACGTGGCTGCTCAGCTACTGCCAAAAGTGGAGTTTTGAAAAGCTGCAGCACAATCCTGGGACAACATTTACTCAGGAGCAGTGCAAGACACCGGCAACTGGTTCCCATCAAGTGAGGACCGGTTGTATCTGCAAGTATGATCAAGTCATCCTGACAGCAAGGTCTGGAAGGACTGGCTAGTGTGGTTTCTGAAATTCACACAGCAGCAGGAGACAAAATCCATTCTCCTGCCCCATTTGTTGGGTTTGGGGCAACACAAACAATAATAAAGGGCAGGGATGACTAAAATAGGGAAGCTGGTTTTGCAGGCACAACAGGAGCAAAAATAGACATATTTTATAAATAAAGATGTCCTGGAAATTAGAGACTCCCGAGTTTCATGGTCACCAGCTCAGCTGTTCTGGCTGTGGGTCTTCTCCACCAGTAGTGCACAGGGGATTTGTGCAGGAATAAATGAGCAGTAATATAAGCACATACATGAAATTCCCTTCTTGTAAACCAGACCCATTAGTTGATCTACTTGTGGATGTCACATTAACCCACAGGCTCTGGTTAAACAAGGGCTGGAGCTTTGCTCAGAATAAGTTAAAGCCAAGTGTTTGAAGAGAGCTGCATATATATTTCCATTAAGCCCAAGACTGTATGTGTTGTAGAAGAAATTGAACTACACAAGAGTGACTTGAGGAAAAAAAAAAAATCTTTTGAGCTGACCTTCTTCCAGCAGAACGAATTCATGTCTTCAGGAGTGATCAAGTCTCAGTTCAGTGATCTTATCTCAAAAAAAAAGCAATAATAAAATGAGAAGAGACGTGGAGGAGGGCGGTAAGGACAGTGGAAATGATGGGATAGATACCATATGAGGAGGAAAGGCTAGAAAAACAAGGAGCTCCAATTTGGAAGAACAAAACCTTGGGACAAAGAAACACAGAGAAGTCTGAAGAGGTCAAGAGAGGTCTGGTGTGGACCTGGAATTCTTTTTCCCTTTTCTTCACAACACAAGAGCGAAGGATCACAGGGAGAAATGTTCAGGAGCCAGGCCTAAAGCAGACAAAAGGAAGTACTTTTTCACACGACACATAATTAGATTGTGGAACTTATTGCCACAGGATGTCGTGGAGGCCAAAAGTATAAACGAATAATAATAATAAAAGAAAAAAAAAAAACAACAAAAGGGATTACACAAATTCATGCAACCTCCGGCCTAGGAAGTCCCTCAGCTGCTGATTGCCAGGAGCCAGGAGGATATGCCGGAGGAAGGATCACTTTATACTCTCCCTCTTCCGATATCCCTTCCTAAGCATCTGCAGCTGGCCATGGCCAGGCACTGGTTGTTGCCCAAGGTGGATGTTTGTTCTAAGCCATCCAGGCAATGCTTATATCCTCCTGGGAACTCCCTGTGGATGCAGCCTTAGGGACCAGGGGCGTCTCCTGGACAGATACGGGACTTACCCCTAATTTTGTTACCTCCAGCCCGACGCGGTCGCAGCGAAGTCCGTCGTGGCCACTCTTTGCTGATTTAGGCTGGTGTAATTGGGGCCAGATTGAGCCCTGGAACCTTCAGAGAGACTCTTCCGCTTTCCCTGCCCCTGGGATTAAGCACTGAAATCTCTGCGCTAAAACCCTCTTTGAACGGGGATGGCAGATAATGCACAAACTGATTAAAAAAAAAAAAAAACAGCACTGGGGAAAGTTAAATATTAAAGAGCCAAGGCCCAGTTTTAACTGCTGCTGCCATCCCTCCTTCATCTCATGCCAACTGCCTCCAGGATACATGTGCTGACACTGAGTTTCTACCTCACAAAAGGCAGTCGCAGCATGGGCTTTAAACTCAACCCGTTAATACCAGGATAGGAAGCAGCAAAATAGAACAAAGGCAGTGAGGGGCTCCTCCAGCTCTCACCCACTCTGACCATGCCCACTCCATCCCTGCATCACAGGGCATGTTACCCTCTGCCCCAATGAGGCATTTTGCCCCTTTGACTTCCCAGCATTAGTAGGTCTAAAATATTTTGCTGCCCGCTTCACCCTGCTGTAACTAAACTATAATTTTCACTAGCAGAGAGGAGGGATTTGGGAGAAACATCTGGTCTCATTTCATCAGGATAACAGCCCCGTCTCTATTTATACACACACTGGGATCGTTGTAGCTCTCAGCTGTTCTTCCCTCGACAGCCCCTTTCAAGCTGCCGTGTCCTACTCCGTCGGGTTGAGGCCAGGCTGCTGTCCTGTGAAACAGGAACCAGGGCAATTCCACAGAAAAATGTGGACTTGTGAGAGCTTGTCCTCTCCACACTTGGCGCTTGCTGTCTGCTGGGCTGGTGACAATGGGCCTTGATGGATGGTTGCTCCTGTCCTTCTATCCTGGTGGAGAGAAAACAGGGAAAACCCGTCCAGCTAGACAGCTTGCTGGAACTGGGTGATCTCTAAGGTCCCTTCCAACCCAAACCATCCTGTGACTGGGAAAATAATAGTAATTTTCTCAGTAATCCCAGAGATCTTGCTGGTTGGGGATCAGAACTGAAATGAGCCAGCCTGATTGGCCTGAATACACCTATCTCAATAGCCCGAATTTTTCTCCAAAACCACAATGTGGATTTTAGGGGAATATTCAGACCATTCAGAAAAGCCCAGGCTTTTCTTTGTAAGGTGTTAACAAAGAAACTGTGACCCTGTAGAGACACAGGAGGGCCAGAAACTCCGCTTAGGAAGGCAGCATGTCCTACTTAATTCACCACGGTGGGAAAAACCCACTCTGCTGCCTCCACTCCAGTGCTCACGAGACATCACATCTCATCCAGCATGTTTAAAAAAACCCTCAAGTCAAATGGCCAAGAACCTGGAAAATTACCACACTGCACGTTCAGCAGTGCAAGTCACTGTCTAAGGGGAACACTCATCCCTTGAACGATGATGGTGTGTGGGTCGGCATTAATCATCCCGAGGAAGTCTATCCCACTGCCCTGCTTTTCCCTCCAGTGGGCTGTTGTCTCCTCCCATCCCGGTCCACTTCTAGCCCTGCATGCCCCCAAAACACAGCTATTTCACCATCACTCCCCCTCCTCTTTTCATTAGGCCTGGACTGTTTATTAATTATTTTCTGACACAGCTACTAGAGGAGGAACCACTCGAAGACACCGGTTTGTGTAACCCAGCGTTTTCAGATGCTCCTATTGATTGTACTAAGGTTGCAAACTCCCCTGAGCTGGATTGAATTTCACCCTGCCTTTATAACCATCTGATAGGATCCTGCCCCTTCAATACACTCCTTCAGAACACTGTTTTCAGCTGTGACCTGGGGGTGAGCAGATCAATATTTGTTTACTCAGCTCTAATTTTCATACGCGCTCAGTAATCCAAGCGCACCCGAACGCAACAGAAAGGGCCACTCCTGCCTATTGCATGAATCAGACAGAACTGTGGACCCTTCCTGCAACACCAGCCTTTCAGAGCAACTCTTGAGCAGGAAATATGACTCAGTCTTGGAGAACATCATCCACAAATAAACCCTGGTGATTCTGTGGACAGCTTGGGGTGAGGGGTGACCAATTGACCCCTTGTGAGCTCTTCACTTCTATGACTCCGCAATAGCTGGGAAACATTTTTATCCTCATTTGAGCCAGCCCTTCTGCAGCACATTGAGAACCTTTGTGAAGTATGTCAGAAGTGCACCAAACCAGGCAATTTCTGTCTAATTGCTGACAAACATCCTCCCAACCTGAGAAAAACTACTCAGAGGAGACGAAGGGAGCAGCCAGAGATAACAGCACCTTGTCCTGCCAATGGAATGCTCTTAGGGTGAAATCTGTCTTCATCCCATGTCTTTTATGAAAAGCAAATGCACAGCATTGATTTTTTTTTTCCCCCCTCTCATGGGATTTAAGGAAGACAGAAATGAAGAAAGGTTGGTGCTGGAATACAAAGTTCTGATTTTGGATCTCTTCCTTGGCCAAAAAGCTCAAGGAATGGCTAGATATAGCTGTGCCAGGGTACCTGAAATCTGATCAAAGGCACTCACAAGTCAGCACAGGGCCTTTGCTAAAGAAGCTGGCGGTTCCTCTCTGTCTGCTGGAGCTGCTCAAATCCTCTGCTCTGACAACACATCCCCTTGCCTTGCAGGTCAGGAATATCCAGAGATAAATCCTTCAGCTTGTCAAAAGCAGTCAGCTGGCTTTAAAGCCAAAATGGTTTGGTTTGGTTTTTTTTTTAATTTCTCTTTTTAATAGTGGCTGTCTGTCTGCTGCTGCCCCGACTTTAAAACAAAATAACCAGCCTCCAGCAACCTTCAGAACAGATCTGTAAAACTCTCCAGCTGACTCTAACAAGCAAAGGCAAGACTGTGACAAACCTGCCAGCTTTCTCTTTGTGGGTTGGATCATCTTCAGGGAGCCCAGGACTGGCATTTAAAAATGTAGCCTTTGAACCAGTCCTTTTTTTTGTGACGAAGCTGGTCCCTAGGACACTGGGGAGGTGACGACAGCAGATGCTGTGATGAGTCAGTGCAGAGAAGGTCGTGGGATGGACATGGGAGTCAGTGACAGGCTGCAGTTACTGAACTGTGCTCAGCCAAAGAGGTTTGGGTTTTAACTTTGAGCGAGAAATGAGGCCAACAAGGAAGGAATGATTTATTTGTCCCTGTTTTTCTTGTCAGTCTCCCGGTTAGATGACTTGGCTCAAACTTTGGGCAAAGAATATTCACTAGATTTATCTACTTCTCCAGAAACACGGGATTCTTTCTCTGGGCTGCCTGTATTATGAATTTAATCAACTTCTCTCTGCTGTATTTTTGTCTCCCTTGCCCAAACAGATGGGTTCCCTTCCTTGCCTATTGTGAACAGAGACAGACACAAGTAAATAGGTACTTGTGCTTTGTGTGGTTACCTGGAGAGGCTGTTGTTTGCAAACAAAGGCTGTACCAGGACAAAAATAGCCTCGTTTGGTGTAGTCTAGACATGATTCTTCATTAAAAATACTGTTGTGGGGTCCCCTACGCTGCACTTCCATATTTACCATCGGGTGTGGAGGCAGTGGGATCATCCACCAAACACGAGTGATCAACAGCACTGTGAGATGCAGACATTTCACAGGAAAGGAGGAGCAAACTCCTCCTCTCCCCTCCCAGTCCTCCAATCTATTGTTCCTTTAGGTGTTCGAACAAATAAAGGAAGAACACTGCTCTGGAGCTCACAACAGCTCACACACACATAGAGAGAACCTCCAGCCCTCTCCCCTGTCCTGTGAGCAGACCCTGACAGTCAGTACATGTTCCCTTGCACCACAAACAGGAGCTGCTTGTAGTTTTACAGGGGCTGGGTGCCAGTTTGGGCAATTTCCTCCTGGACCACACACGAGCAGTTGACTGTAGCTGTCAGCTCTCAAAGCCAAGTCCGGCCCTACCTCCCACCAGGAGGGCATCTGCAAAGATGTTGGGATGGAGATACATCCCTGCCTGTCACCTGGGAGCTTCGTGGCAGCAGAGCCTGTCCCACAGGGTTGATGGCCGTGGTGCCTCCTCATCCAGGAGCAGGTCATGGTGACAGGAATGAGATACTCAGTCCCTGTTGAAAACACAGAGGTTATTAAAGCTACATGCCAATGCCTGTACTGATTCAACATGCATTGAAACAAAATGTAGGAATGCCAGAACTGGATCATACAAAAGAAAACTCAGTCTCAGAGCAGGAACTGCCTTACGGTGAAAAATAGCTGTGTGGTGCTGGTCACAGCAGCACTTCAGCCCCAAGAGTGCAGCCAGGATTTAGGGTTGCAGGAGGAGATTCAGGACACTGGAAGGGTACAGAGGCAGACTGAAAACCATCAAAACACCTTGGGCACTTGAGAAGAAACACCTGAACAGCAAGACCTCCACTGAACACAAGGTTATAAACAACAAGACAATAACAGCCACAAGCAGAGCAGTGATGTAGCTTTGCATTTCTGAGGGCTGTTCTCTCCTGAGAAGGTCTGGGATTCCTTTGTTACCAGGTGAGCCTGAGGTCTCACTCTCCAGGCCTTTGTTTTGCCTGCCAGGGTCTCCACAAGGATTTGGTGCTCTCTTCCCCTGGGTGAGGGAGTACAAACCTACTTGGGTATTTACTTTAATAGATGGGCAGCAACATCCCTCCAGGGGGTACCTGCTGCTCCCACTGTGCCTACACAGCATTTGGGGCCTCAGATATTCTACCTCAGTCAATTAAAAGTGTCCCAAGGAAAAAAATACTGCCATTTCCTTTCAGCTTTTCCAGGAATCAAACAAGCATTTGGAGTGCAGGTGACAGCAGTGTTATCCATACAGGAGAGAGTCCTGAAGGTGCTGAGCAGACCAGAGCAACACTCAGGGAGAAGACAAGCAGCATAGGATGGAACCCTTCTTACAGTCCCTATTCTGCCCTTAATTACAAGCTTAAGTGATGGCTAATAAAGATGATCCAAAACAAATAAATTGAGCTGCTGCTCTAATTAAGCAGTTTTTGCTGCATGCAGTGAGCCAGGGTCATCTGTGTCATAGTTCAGCAGAAGCCAGGAGGGTTCCATGATGGATTCGTTTCGATTTCATCTGAACAGCTTCAAGGAGGAGCTGACCATCCTGTTTCCTGCACTGCTGGCCAAGAAACACCAGTCCATCCCCCAGACAGTCATCCTGGGCAGGGGCACAGTCATTCAGCTTGGTTACATCTGCCTTTATGGCAAGTACATTAAGGTGAGTCCTTCCTTTACTAAGGGGAGGGAAGCTGGAAGCTGTTGGGAAGCAGCAGGTTTTTTTCTCTGGTCAGAAAATGTCCCAGCAATGACACTTCAGGGCTGTGCCCCTGGTTTTTAAGCAGCCCTGTACAGCAGAGACAAGAAGCAATTACTACTGGCCTTATGCTTATGTGATGGATGAAATGAGCTGACAGACTCCCCGTGGCAAAGTGCAGCAAAAAGCTTTTCAGGTTGTCCACTTCAGCTCGCAGGTAAGGGCTGATGCCTGGCAAGGGCAGATGGGAAGGACAGTGTATAATAAGGAGAGAGCCCAGGCCGTGACTGCCCTGCAGTTCCACAGCTTTAATCCCAGCAGCCTGAACTCCCAAACCACAGCTAGTGCTCCCACAAACCTCCTCTCTCCAGATGTGCAGTGCCTGATCATCTCTGCAGGTACAGCCCAAAATGTTTAGGGCTCCCTGTGCACGAGTGCAGACTGACAAGCACTGAGCACCCAGGAGATATGTAGGATATTTTCCCTGGGAGTGTAATCTCAGAACTGCATCTTCTATGACCACAGCTGATATTTTAATATCCACTTAATGCCCCAGAGAAGAGCCAGTTCATGATCCTTTCGCAGGATTCTGATCCAAGTCGTGCATA